TGTGTTTGTGTGTTTTGTGTGTTTGTGTTTGTGTGTATTTGTGTTTTGTGTTTGTGCACAAACACACACACACAAACACATCTGCTTGGGGGCTTGGCCCAACGACTTGGCATTTTTCGATGGGTCGTGCGGAAAATAGGGGTCCGTTGTGTTTGTTTGTGTTTTTGTGTTTGTGTGTTTGTGCACACACAAAACATGTTTGCTTGGGGGCTTGGCCCAACGACTTGGCATTTTTCGGCGGGTCGTGCGGAAAATAGGGGTCCGTTGTGTTTTTGTGTTTGTGTGTTTTTGTGTTTTTGTGTTTTTGTGTTTGTGTGTGTTTTTGTGTTTGTGTGTGTTTGTGTTTGTGTGTTTGTGCACACAAAACATGTTTGCTTGGGGGCTTGGCCCAACGACTTGGCATTTTTCGACGGGTCGTGCGGAAAAATAGGGGTCCGTTGTGTGTTTTTGTGTTTGTGTTTTTGTGTTTGTTTTTGTGTTTGTGTGTGTTTGTGTTTGTGTGTTTGTGCACACAAAACATGTTTGCTTGGGGGCTTGGCCCAACGACTTGGCATTTTTCGACGGGTCGTGCGGAAAATAGGGGTCCGTTGTGTGTTTTGTGTTTGTGTTTTGTGTTTGTTTTGTGTTTGTGTGTGTTTGTGTTTGTGTGTTTGTGCACACACAAAACATGTTTGCTTGGGGGCTTGGCCCAACGACTTGGCATTTTTCGACGGGTCGTGCGGAAAAATAGGGGTCCGTTGTGTGTTTTTGTGTTTGTGTTTTTGTGTTTGTTTTTGTGTTTGTGTGTGTTTGTGTTTGTGTGTTTGTGCACACACAAAACATGTTTGCTTGGGGGCTTGGCCCAACGACTTGGCATTTTTCGACGGGTCGTGCGGAAAAATAGGGGTCCGTTGTGTGTTTTTTGTGTTTGTTTGTGTTTGTGCACAAACACAAAACACAAAACACAAACACAAACACACCTAGTCGGGGACTTGACTTGGCATTTTTCGGCCCTGCTCGGGGGCTTGTACCGAGCCGCCACCCCAGTTTTTAGACCCCACTAGGGGGCTTGTTATGGCCGGCCATGTCGTTTTTTGTGTGGAATGGAATTTGCCAAGACCGCCGGTTCGACCACCTCTTTAGGTGCACCCATGTGTCGCACATCAAAATGATGCCCCTCGTGTGCTCTATGCATGACCCGATGCGATGGGCGCGTTCGTGCGGGCGTGTTCGATCTGGACGCTCGCCTCGCCAAAGTTCGGTCCCCCCCGGCCAATTTTGACCCCCTTTTTTCGTATTTTAATTCTCGCGCCCCAACGGCTGCGATTTTCCACCTTCCCATTGCTATCCGATGCTCCCCGCGCTCTGGCCTATCCAACGAACCCAGCCTCGCCCGTGCACCTATCCGTTTGCCCTCGTTGACCCCTCCCAAACGCCATTCCTTCCACACCTACAGTGCTGACTGGAGAAGGCCAACCTCAGCCTGCACTCATTAGTGCAGATCCTCCACTCTACCCCTTGCAACCACGCCTGGGCATGGGAGAGCTCCACCTTTTGCCTGTCTACCAGCAACATGCCCAGCAAGCTTCAGTGGTACGCCTTGCTGATGAAAATGCCTGCATGCAATAACACCTTGTGCACCCATTTGTTAAAAATTACTGGGGGAATGTGAAGAATGTTGTGCACTGTTGAAAGCACTGGTAAACAAGGGTAGCATGGCCAATGGGGAAGTTCAGGCCTCTTTGTTGGCAGAATTGACCTCTGCCTGCCATGGCCCACAGAATGTGAAGTGGCTGCTAACCAGGCAAACACAAACAGCAAACACAGGAGCCTGTGATGTCATTCTGGCAAGCTGTGTCCTGTTTATTGCTTTTTCAGGATAAAGGGTGGATGCAGGGGGGACACCTTGGTGGGACTCCTGTGTCCAGGCCCTGTTGCATGGCAGTTGAACCCCAGATATCTGTGGCATTCACTTCCTCTTGGCTTCTATCTGCTTTCTGCCAGCCCTCCTTTGGAAGGAGGCCCAGGAAGATGATCTGCATGTCCATACAAGCAGTAGTGTGGAGGGAATCAGTCATTCCTTTAAAAAGCTCCTCCAATTTGGCTGGTCCTGAGGTGAACCCACATAAGTTGGCATACACATCATATTGCTAAAACCAGATGCAAGGGACCCCACTTCCACTATAAGTATCCATGTTATGGATAATGTCATGCATGAGCCAGTCACCTGCATTGGGAGCAATGTTGCACTCCCCTAGTGGGTGTCTTCCACAACTCTGTGGCTGGCAGCCAGACACATCAGACACATTATATTTTCATCCTCAGATTGTACAATTTGCTCATTTGAAATAAGAGGTCCATGTCATTTTCAAAAGTGATTTTGTTCTGGACTTTGTATGGTATGTTTACTCCTCCTATTCAACTCTCCCACCAGCTGTTATCAAACTATTGGTATGTCAAGGCTCAGATCTCAGAAATTCCAGGAGATTTACTTTGACAACACTAAAATGGAGCTTTGCATCATTTTGGCTGTTCTGTTGGTCAGTTGAAAGAAGTGGATTTTCTGCCATAACATCTTCAAGAATGGTGGAGCCATTGCCATTCATGCTTGTCACAGTGCTCTCTCCCTCCCTTGTGCATGCCAACTCACCTTGTTGGCTTGGGTACCCTCATTTCACTCACCACAACACTGTTTGCTTAGGTGGCCTCATTGATCACCCCAGTTTGTCTAGCCCAAGGACTCCAACCTCATCATCACCCCCTCTTCCACCCTCTCTGTACTCATCTTGGGGCATTTCCCCCAGGCACTCCATTGCTCCCCTCACTCCCACACCTCTGCTCAGCTGACCACAATTCTTGGTTAATAAAAGATGGCGCATATCCCTACGAAGGGCACTTTTTCATCGTGGTGTATAAAAGGGCAATTAAGATGAATACAATGCAGCGATGGTACGGGGTGCTCGGCCCACCTGAAACACACATGAGCGAGTTCGCCTTGGTTCAAGAAGACCACCATTGTTTGTAATAAAAGATGGCGCGCGTCCATAGTATGTGAGAGCAAAGAGCACCTTTCGCTGACGTTGGAAAGATGCCGGCTCGGCCGTTGTCGCCGGCGGTCGGCTCAGCCCACGCTCCGGCAGCTGCCACCACGCTCGGTGCCACCAGCCAGCCAGCGGCGTGCTCAACATCACGTCGAGCGAGCAGAAGACCACAACCACACCATCGCCAGCCGCAACCAGGGCACCGTAAACTTCAGCACCTTGTCGATCAAGAGCAGCGCCGCGGGCTTCGTACAACGCACTGGTGCACCTCGGTCTCCTCGCAGGAGGCTGTCGCAAACTCCTCGGCGTGCTGCAGTTCATCGGGCATGGCCACCTTCACCGGCGCCTTCACCAACGACCGCGCACTCACCCTGTCGACCCGCGCCTCGCTCAGCCTGCTGGGCGGCGGCCGCGGAGCGTGCACCGTCAACCTGCTTCCGGGCACCACCGTCGTGCTCGCCGCGGGCGTGTTCGACCTCCAGGTCACGGGTGTGCGAGCGTCACGAAGTACTCCCCCGCGAAGATAGATCTTTAATGATGACTACTTACACAGTAAGTCTGCTCCTCTCTCTCTCTCTTCTTTTTTTTTGGTGTGGGAAGGGTTCTTGGCGCCTTGCACAACATCGCCCTAGTAGGGCTTAGCCCTGTGCGCCTTGAGGATGGTGGCGCACTGGGCATGCTTGCAGCAGCGGGTCAACTCACTCGGCGTGCAGTTGCGCAGGTCCTTCTCCTCGTGTGGCGCTCCATACTGCAACATGGCCAACGCCAACCACACACACACACCACACACCACCACAAACTTGTTAACCTCAAGTGTGATCACATCACACACCACACGCACACACGACACCACGCACGACACACACACGGCGCAACACACACGTACGTCAAGCAAGAGCTTGAGAGCCTCGCGGCTTCCATGGCTGGCCGCGTAGTGCACCACTGTGCGGCCCAAGTTGCAGCAAGCGTCCAGCTCTGGAGAACGGTCGAGCAGCACGCGCAGCACAGCGACATCATTCCTAGATGCCGCCCTGTTTTGCCCCCCCGCCCCCACACAGCAGCGGCAGAAGAAGCAGGTTGGTGTAGTATGGACGTGGTCAATAAAAGAAAGAAAGAAGGAAAGAAGGAAGGAGGACAAACATACAGCATGAGCGGGCTTTTGCCGGCGCTGGTGGTGACGTTCACATTGGCTCCCATCATCAGGAGCAGGAACTCGACCTCTGCGACATCACCCTTCTTGGTAGCCTTAATCAGCTGCTGACTCCTGTACATACGTGTGTGTGCGTGCGTGCGTGCGTGCACGGTGTGCGTGTGTGCACGGTGTGCGCGTGCATGAGTGCGTGTGTGAGTGCGTGCGTGTGTGTGTCTCATGTTGTGTGGTTGTGTAGTTGGTTGTACTTACTCATCAAACTCCTGGCTGGCTGCAGGCATGCAGAGCACCACGTCGTCGCCCGACGCCACCAGATCGCGCGACACCGAGATCTGCTCCAGCGTCGACCGGCCCAGCTCCTCCGATCGCTTCTTCATCCCCTGCGCTTGCTCGGCCACGTTGGCCGCCACAGCCATCACCTTGGCCCGCACGCTCACCTGGCCAACCAGCACCACGAACACGACCACGACCACGGTCAGTCAAGATAGAGTAAGAGTGGAGGTGGTGGGGCCAAACGCACTCCATCGGTTTGGGCGTTGACGTGGACGAGGTCGCGGGAGATCTCGAAGGACGACGTGACGCCCTCGGCGAGCTCCACCACTGGCGCCAGCGACTGTTGCGGCAGTTGCTGCGACAGTGGGTCTGGGTTGTTCTCGGTCATGAGGGAGACATGCTCGTCTTCCTCCTGCTCTTCCTTGTTTCCTTGCATCAAGGCCTCCTCAACTGTCATTGTTGGTTTCTACTCAAAGAAGAGAAAACAACGTAAGCACGGCAAGCAACACAACCACATCATGAGAGAGAGAGAGAGAGATGAAATGAGATGAAGATGTACAGGAGGGTTGCACGGTTTCAGAGCCTTGGAGCGCACAGAAAACATCTGCCGGACAAAGAAGAGGCTCGCCAAGTGGGACTTGATTTTCTGTTTCATGCACCCAACCCCATTGATCAAACCTTTGAAATATAAGCAGTAGTAGATGTGTTTTAGTACCTTGTGCAGAGCAACGGACTTGAGGCCTGGAAACTGTGCCTCCAGCTCACGTTGGATGGTCTTCTCTATGACAAGAAACTCATCCTTGCTCACGACTACACACAGTGTGGTCAGACACGCACTTGTGTGTTGTCCATGTGTTGGGTGTTGGGTGTGGGTGTTGTGTGTCATGGTGTTGGGTGGGAATGTACCAAGAATTTTGTGAGATATGCAATTGACTGGGTTGGGATCGACATGATCACTGCAGCACAGCTCTTTTTCATGAGGGTCATCGGCCTGTCCTGCCTGCATGACACCAACACACAGACAAGATCAGGCCTGGAACACTGTTCAAGACAGTGAGAGGGGTTGTACATGAATGTCCCTGGAGTGGTAAAGCCATGCCCCATGCATCATGTAGTGGCCAGTCGGATCCTGTTATCCATAAAGAAGTGCACACACATGCCAACACACCCAAGAAGAATGGCATCAGCAGGAATGCAAGGGAGGAGTGCAGCATGGAGTGCCACTCAAGTCTTGTGCACGCACACGCACACGCACACGCACATGCACACAGTACCTGGAACAATTCAGTGATGACAGTATACCAAACAGCGCTGTCCTCTTCGGGCTGCAGGGCCACACAATCGCCGACTTGATAGGTCATTCCACCAAACTCGAACGCCTGCCATAGGGTGTGGGTGTGAGTAAAAAATATGGTGGACATGGTGTTGTGTGCGCGCGCATGTGTCGGGGGTTGGTGCACGTACACCATAGAAGGTGCATCCCTGGGTTTCCTTTCTCTTCGGCAGCCTCAGAGGCCGTCCAACCCATTGGGCTATGGATGACGACGACGACGATGACGACATGTCTCTTTTCTTGTCAGCTTATCGTTTCTATTGTTGTTTCTCGTGCTACCACTTCCTCGACTCGTCTTCCTGTTTACTTCTTTCTTTCTTGCTTGCGCTACTTGCTTGCGCTACACAAGCCTGCCTTTCACAAAACGTGCAGAATTTTCGCGCCAAAATGGTCGTCTTTCTTTATATTATATAAAAGACAATAAGAACAACAAAATATAAATGAAATATAAATGAACAAATAATGGGCACGCACGATCGTGGATGCGGCAAGAGGGCAGGAGAGAGCCGGCTGCTTGCAGCATTGATCGACTCATTTGAGGGTCGAGAGAGGGTGTTGGGGAGGGAATAAGAGGAGTGGGTCTCGGGGTCGGGGCTGCCGGACATCGCGAAGAGGTGGTTGGGTGGGGGGCTGGTGTCAGCTCGGTTGGGCGCGAAACGCAGCGGAAAAGGGAATGATTTTTCGTCAGAATTTGACAATTCAGGCACAATATTGTGTTGTTGTACTTTTTATGGCGCACTAAAACAAGAGAGAGCTTGTCGTTCTCGTCTTCTGGCCTGAGCCTGGGTGGTGGCTGGTGGCTGGTTGAGCGTTGATGTGCGAGCGTTGAGGTGAAGGGAGCCAAGCGTTTGCACCGCTCCCGAGAGGTCGGCCGACGATCCCGACGCCTCGACGCCGAGCAACACCAACGCCAGCGCCAGCGCCAGCGCCAGCAGCGCCGGATTCCAGTTCCTTTTCCAGGCCACGGTGTACATACCATACCAAAGGCGAGGCCTCGGCTAGAAGCGGTAGAAGCGGGGCTTGAAGCAGCGAGAAGGGCACGAGGGGTGGGCGTCGTTGGTCGTGTCGAACAGTAACGGCGATGACAATGGGATGGGGTGAAGGGACGACGCGGTGGGCGATGGCGCCAGGCGCGGGTGGTTCCTTTGGTCCGTACCGGGAGCGCGGCGGTGGAGCTGGCGGGCGGCGATGATCTCGTCCGGGCCGAGGTGCGGTTCGACCAGGTTCTTGCGGAAGACGGCCTTCTGCGCCACCTCTCCTCCACTGCGCGTGCACGAGCGTCAGTCCCCATTGGTTGCACCACACCACACCACACCACACCACACCACACCACACCACACCACACCACACCACACCACACCACACAACACAACACAACACATAAGCTCGCTCGTACGTTTGGAGGATTAGCGGGAGGTCGATGTTGGAGACGGTGATCATGAGGAAGTGGCCATCGGGCCGCAGCACACGCTGGAAGTACGTGGGGACCAGTGCCCGCCCAGTTCCGTTCACAAAGCAGTCCAGACAACCCTGCGGGAGTGACGAAAAGGGAGAGCTCTCCCGAAGGAGGAGGAGGAGTGGCTTCGACTCGGTCGATAGGGCCTCGTACAGGTTGAATGGCAACTCTGGATTGCCGACACACACACACACACACACACACGACGCGGTGGGAAGTCAGTCAACAGAGCCATCGTTGCACGCCACGATGATCGTTACTTTGCGGGATCGGGCGGTTGTACCGGAGGTGCCGGACGAGCACGCGGTAGACGGGCGTGGCGGCGGAGGCGGCGGAGGCGGCGGCCAGGGCGGGCACGAAGAAGCGGCCCAGTACGCGCAGGAAGCTGTGGCGCTGCAGCTCCTCGGCCGAGTACCACTCGAAGCACTCCTGGCCCGTCTCCTCGTGGAAGCCTGGGTTGGGGAGGAGACGACCATGAGCACATCTCCAGAAGCTTCATACTAGATAGATAGATAGATAGATAGATAGATAGATAGATAGATAGATAGATAGATAGATAGATAGATAGATAGATAGATAATAACACGCACAGATAACGCCGACATGAAGTGGAAGCGCTGACGTACATTCCCAGTACTCGGTCTGGGTGAAGGTGTACTTCTCGTCGTAGTCCTCCCGCTCCGCCGCTTCTTCCTCCTCTTCTTCCTCCTCTTCGTCTCCCGGCTCTCCGTCTTCGTTCGCCGGCACAGGTGGCGCCACCGTCTGGAGGTAGAACACGTAGTCCCTGCACCCCCCCGCCCGTAGTCGTAGTCGCAGCCGGCCCCCATTGATTGTTGACAGCATGAACACCAACGTCATCATCATCATTCATCATTATCATCATCATCGAGAGCGTGCTGCTGCTGCTGCTGCTGCACACATGGGGGGTCGGGGCGCTGTACATGAAGTGGGAGGCGGCGCGGTCATCGGCAAAGGCCAGCAGCAGCACCAGCCCCACGGCCTCCTCCTGGTCGTCCGCGTGGGCGGGAGGTGCGTGGAGGGCGATGGTGTGGGTGGCGGCCTGGCAGCACCCCCACCACCGCCGGTGGCGGCCGCTGGGCGCCGCTGCCGCCTCCTTCTGCAGCTCCTCCTCCTCCTCCTCCTCGCCGGAGGCCGCCACGGTCGGGGCGTCGGTGACCTCGCGCGGCACGACGGGGAGGCGCACCTCCCGCACCACTCCCTCCTCGCGGCCATCAGCGATGAGGAGCTCCAGCACCAGTTCCACCTCGCCTGCACCCACGCCAGCCACCACCCACGCCAGCCAGGTCAGCTCGTGAGCGGGGCGCCCCACACACCAAACGTCGAACGAGGTTTCCGCCGCGGCAGACGTACCAGCCCGTGCGTGCGAGGAGATGGCGCCCCTTCACCATCTTGCGCCAGTCGCGCGCGTTGCGCCCTCCTTCTCATCCAGCAGCCACCACCTGCACACGACACACACACGACACACCTACACACACGGCGTGGTGGCCTTCGTGGCGGTCAGCCTGGTGGCCACACGTCGTAGCTTTCGGTCTCGAGGGCGGCGCCCTTGAAGGGCAGATCGCGCAGGCGGCAGAGGGTCCCCCGAAGGCCCTTCTTCCACTTGGCAACATGGTGGAGAGGGTGTGCATGTGCACTGAAGAAGGGGCGAAGAGCCTGGGGTGAGCAGGAGACCTAGAAGAAGAAGAGTAGAGCCACATGAACCGTCGTGGTAGGCCTCGTCGAAACAGCCGTGCGTGCCCCTCGACGACGTGCTCCCGATCAGGCGGCGGCGGCGGATGCGGATCTGTCAAAGATGTTGATGATGAGGTGGCGCCAGGAGCCGCCGCCGCAGGTGGTGATGGCCTGGTCCGTCTTCGCTTGGCTATTCTTCTTTTCATCGCCACCTGTTGTTCTTGGTCCGCACTTCAAGGCACAGGTCCCTTCGATTACAGATTCGAGATTGCATGTATTCCTTTATATCTCTTTATTTATTTATATATTATTATTATTATTTTGCTTTATCTCGCATGCGGGCGTACAGCTCAGTCACCAAACATCACCAGAGCCGCGAATGTGTGCAAGTTCGGGCTCACCACTGCTTCTGTCTTGTCCCTAGCGCCCACCTCCGCTTTTTCTACTTTGAACTCCAATTCATAGTGGTTGGAGGTACCCGCTTTCGTAGAATTCGACTGACTTCCATGTGGTGGGCGGCCTGTGGTCGATCAGCAAGCGCTCGACAGGAGCGGCACGTCTCGATCTGTAGCCGCTCCTGTTCCTCGCCTCCTACATCCCTCCAGCAACAGAGGGGTTCCTTCTTCGTTGTGCCACCGCTCGTGCCCGTGAGGTGTCGTTGTGTCGTGTCGTGTCGTTGGTCGTGTCGTGTCGTTGGTCGTGTTGTGACGTGTCGTTGGTCGTGTCGTAGGTCGTGTCGTAGGTCGTGTCGTGTCGTGTCGTATCGTTGTGTTGTGACGTGTCGTTGGTCGTGTCGTGTCAATGTCGTTGGTCGTGTCGTGCTCGCGAACAGGACAAGACTAGAGACTGCATTGTCTTGTTAAAAGCTGACTGTGAGTGAGGCGCAGAGGCTGCTGACGTGTATCGCGTGATTGGCCGCGCGCCTGCGCAGGCGGCTGTGAGCACAGGCCATGTAGCCCCACGCTCGCGTCGGCGGCGGCCTGGTCTACTCACGCTCACCACGCGCAACAACTTGTGTGTGTGTGTGTGTGTGTGTGTGTGTGTGTGTGTGTGTGTGTGTGTGTGTCACAGGACGCTGTGTGTCTGCCGCAGCATCGCCAAAGGGGACCTTCTGGGGCTTAATCGAATCGTGTCCAGCTCCTACAACGGTGCATCGCTGGTCGTCAACCCCGCCTCCTAGCTGACCATCATGGCCCACAGCTGCATCAACTGCTCGGCCTGCACCGCCCAGCTGATCAACTACGGTACCATTTCGCAAGGTAGCCGGTGGAGCGGATCCTTGATTGGAACCAGTTTACGATGCACTCCATATGCGTCACAGAAACAACACACATTATACAGCCACGCCCACGAGTCACCCTGCACTTGTCATTGGCCTACACGCATGCGACGTAAAAGAGCTACTGGGGACCCAGCTGCCGCCGCTCTTGACGGTGTTGAGGAGCCAGTGAATGCCTTGTCCACGTGGGGTTGGCGATGAACGTTGAGGGGTGGCGCTGTGCCAAAAAGGCAACTATATGGTTTCCTCAACAATGTAATTCTCATTTTTGGGGCTTAACCCTGCTCATGAGTAGGCACACATGATACTGAGCACACACATCTCCCATGTCTTGCCATGTTGCTGCAGCCCTTGCACTTCTCATTGGCCAGGCCAGCCTCCTGTGCATGTGTGTGAAGTTAAACATGGTGGAGAGTGGCAATGATTCAGGCAGTACCTGGATGAGGTGTTGAGGGTTGACACACTTGGATTGATGGCAAAGGTGGGAGACTGGCAGTTGCCCATCAATTTTGCGCTTCCACAAGAGGAGACTGATGGTGTGGGCCATGTACTTGGTGGACTTGATACTCACCTGTGAGTAGCCAATTTCTCCCTTCTTGTTGGCAGCATAGTTGGCCAGCCAGCAGCCACCAGGCCCCAGGGTGAGCCTCTTGGAGATCTGCTTCTGCCAGCACTTGTGCAGACTCTCAAGGCAGTCTGCATTGGCCATGGCCACCAGTGCCTTGACCTGGTTGGTCTTGACCTGCTGCTCATGAGATACCATCATCTTCTGCTGCTGGCGGCCCCTGGGTCTCAGAAGCTTAACTGGTTGGTCATCAGCAAGGGCATAGAGCTTCTGGCCATCCCCTCCAGTGCCAG